TGACAGTTGCCAGAAACCTTCAATTTACACAAAACACACAATATCTATAAACACAATAAAGTGCATCACAATAAAACAAGGTCGACCCATATCTGCTAGTCACCAGGTAATCTGTTTACTAGGAATAGGTAATAATAGCTAGAAAAACTAGTTAAATACAGAAATTTAAAAAGCACTGTCTTCTCAGGACACAAAAACATAGAAAGATAGTCCAGGTTCATAGACTGACAGGATTAATATTGTATAAATCACAATACTCACCAAAGTGATTAACAGATTAAATGCAAGTCCCATCAAAATACCAATGACGTTCTTCACAGAAATAGGAAAATCTTATAATATTCATAGGAAACTATAAAAGACCTTAAATAGCCAAAGCAATCCTGAGCAAAAAGGGAAAAGCTGGAAGCATCAAACTACCTGACTTCAAAATTTACTACAAAGCTATGGTAAACCAAGCAGCATGGTACTGGCTTAAAACAGACACAGAGACAAATGGAGCAGAGTAGAGAACCCAGATATAAAGTCACATTCTTATAACCAACTCAACTTCAACAAAGACGACAAGAACATATGATGCTGAAAAGATCGACATTTCAACAATAGTACTAGGAAAGCTGGATAAGTACAGGCAGAGGAATGAAACTAGATTCCTATCTCTCACCACACACAAAAAGCAAATCAAAAATGGGTTAAAGACTTGAATCTGGCTGGCAGCGGTGGCTCACGCCTGTAATCCTAGCACTTTGGGAGGCCAAGGTGAGTGGGTCACTTGAAGTCAGGGGTTCGAGACCAGCCTGGCCAGCATGGTGAAACCCCGTCTCTATGAAAACTACAAAACTTAGCCAGGTGTGGTGGTGCACACGTGTAATCCCAGTTACTCAGGAGCCTGGGGCACAAGAATTGCTTGAACCGAGGAGGTGGACATTATAGTGAACCGAGATGGTGACACTGCACTCCGTCCTGGGCCTGAACAACAGAGTGAGATGAGACTCTGTCTAAATTAATTAATTAATTAATTAAATTGAATTAAAAAGACTTGAATCTATGACTTGTAACTGAAACCACCAAAAAACATTGGGGAAATGCTCTAGGACATTGGTCTGGGCAAAGATTTCTTGAGTAAGACCTCAAAAGCAAAGAACCAAAGCAAAAATAAACTATTGGGATCACATCAAGTTAAAATGCTTCTGCATAGCAAAGGAAATTATCAACCAAGTGAAGAGACAACCCACAGAATGGCAGAAAATATTTGCAAACTATCCATCTGATAAGGGATTCATAATCAGAATACATAAGGAGCTCGACAAATTCAATAACAAACAATCCGATTTAAAAATGGACAAATAATCTCAATAGATATTTCTCAAAAGAAGACACAAAAATGGCCAGCAAGCATATGAAAATATACTCATTATAAATCATCAGAGAAATACAAATCAAAACCACAATGCAATATCATCTCACCCCAGTTAAAATGGCTTTTAACAAAAGACAGGCATGAACAGATGCTAGCAAGGAGGTGGAGAAAGGGGAACCTGTGTACACTGTTCGTGGGAATGTAAGTTACTACAGCCACTACGGAGAACAGTATGGAGTTCCTCAAAATCCTAAAAATAGAACTAGTATATGATCCAAGTATTCCACTGCTGGAGAAAGAGGGAGGGGGGAGAGAGAGAGAGAGAGATAAATTTATCTGTACATCAAAGAGATGTATCTGCATACTCATGTGTATTGCAGCACAAGTCACAATAGTCAAAACACGGATTTAGCCTAAGTGCCCATCAATGGATGAATGGATTAGGCAAATGTGGCATATGTACACAATGGAATATTATCCAGGCATAAAAAGAATGACTGGATATTATGTTTAATGAAATAAGCCAGACACTGAAAAACAAATATTGCATGTTTTCACTCATATATGGGAGCTAAAAAAGTGGTTCTCATGAAGATAGCGGCTACAGTGATGGTTACCAGAGGCCAGAAGGGGAAGGGGAGATGAAGGGGAAATAAAAGAATATAAATGTATTTATTACCACTGAACTGCACACTTACAAGTGGTAAAGAGGGTACATTATATATGTATATTTTACCTCGATAAAAATAAATTTTAAAAATAAAATCACTTTCTTCTCACTACTTACTGCTGAATTATTGCTGGAATAATGAATTAGTACTACAGGTAAGTCATGTACCTAAGTAAGTAGTAAAATAGGGACAACAAGAATAGTTCAGTGGAATGTAGAACATAGGGAATCTAGTCTGGTCAGATATAATTTTGTTGGTGTTGAGTTAATATACAAGTTCTACTTAACTGGGCTTTCCCATGAAACTGGTTACATAGAAACAGCTAACAATCATTACAATACCAAGTGAACCTGATCCTGAAAATCATGTTCTTTGCAAGTCTCAATTATTGGTTTTAGTTGAGATAAGAACTTAAAAGGATAGCTGCTGAGTGTTACCCAGGAAAAAAAGGTACATAGAATAACTGGAGATAGCTTGAATATCTACGTGATGCCAGGAAAAAGGAAAATCCTTCCTCACCATTCGACTATTTTTTGTTGGAATAATAAATTACCACAGACATCTGGTGGTAAACATGTAATTAGCAACCTAAAGATAGCTAGAATTAGCCAGACCAAGTAACTGATCCCAGAAGCTGAAGATAACCGGCCTATGCCAGGGAGTTCAATAACCGTTTTCCTCAATGCAAAATTCCAACCTCATGTTAGAAATATTACCTCATACAGTAAATATCTACTTTATCCAAGTGAGTAATTAACTAGAAATAACTACACGAAACCAGTACCTGGAATAAACAAATTCTTCTCAATACTACTTCTTATGTCTCTGTGACATAAAGCTAAACATTTAGTGGTACCTAGGCAAACAGCTGAATAAACAACTAGCAATTACTAGGAAAACTGCTTGAACATAGAAGGTTTAATAACCATTCTAGTCAATTCTGTGTGCTTACTGTTTTAGGATTGTTGATTAGGTACTATGGATATGGTAACTAGAGTTACCTGGGTAAGAGTTAAATACAGAATCCTTCATAAAACTAGAATAACTGATTGAAGAAAAGAAGTATAACATTGCATTCTCCTCAACATTTCTCATTTCTTCTTGGAGTAATGAGTTAGTTCTGTCAATGGTACTAGTACCTAGGTAATTACAAAGCAAAAAATAAGAAGAGATGTCTAGAATAAATATTTGATACCAGAATGGTGAAGAAAAAAAAAACCATTCTTTTTAAATAGAAACTCTAATTTCCTGTGTGATTAATGAGTTACAATTAGTACTGGAGATATCTGTATGAGATGTGGATTTCATTTTGGGGGAGGGGCACATACTCCACAGATGAACTGCTGGGTCATATGGTAGATCTATTTTGATTTTCCAAGGAATGATTATACTGTTTTTCATAACGGCTGTACCGATTACTTGTCTGTCAACAGCGTGTAAACGTCCCCTTTTCTGCACACCCTAAAAGGGTTTCATTTTCTCCATATCTTTGCCCTCATTAATTTTTTTTTTTTTTTTTTTTTTTTTTTTTTTTTTGAGACGGAGTCTTGCTCTGTCGCCAAGGCTGGAGTGCAGTGGCGCGATCTCAGCTCACTGCAAGCTCCGCTTCCCGGTTCAGCCATTCTCCTGCCTCAGCCTCCCCAGTAGCTGGGACTACAGGTGCCTGCCACCACGCCCGGCTAGTTTTTTGTACGCCATCACTACTTTTTATCTCTTGACTTTTTGATAATACCCGTCCTAACAGGTGTGAGGTGATAGTTCACTGTGGTTTTCTTTTTTCTTTCTTTTTTTTCTTTTTTTTTTGAGATGGAGTCTCCCTCTGTCGCCCAGGCTGGAGTTCAGTGGCGCAATCTCGGCTCACTGCAAGCTCCGCCCCCCGGGTTCACGCCATTTTCCTGCTTCAGCCTCCAGAGTAGCTGGGACTACAGGTGCCTGCCACCATACCCGGCTAGTTTTTTGTATTTTTAATAGAGACGGGGTTTCACCGTGTTAACTAGGATGGTCTCGATCTCCTGACCTCATGATCCACCCATGTCGACCTCCCAAAGTGCTGGGATTACAGGCGTGAGCCACCCCGCTCTACCCACTGTGGTTTTCATTTGCATTCTCTGATTATTAATGATGTTGAGCATATTTTCATATACCTGTTGGCCAGTTGTGTGTTTTCTTTCTAGAAATGCCTATTCAAGTCCTTTGCCTATTTGTTAACTAGACTATTTATTTGTTTGCTATCGAGCTGTGTGAGTTCTTTATATATTTTGGATATTAACGCATTATTAGATATATGGTTCGCAAATAGCTTCTCCCAAACCATAGCCTGCCTTTTCATTCTGTTGATTGTTGGCTGTGCAGAAGCTTTTAGTTTCCAGCCTGCTCACTTGCTCTACAAATTTCAGCTTCCTAGACTCCACATTGTGTGAAGGTTTGAGCCACTTACGTAGAGTAAACCGTATCACATATATAATATTATTCATAAATGAATACTATATTATAGTAAATAGATGTTTATGATATACAATATTACACACGCACACACTCTCTCTCACACACACACACAAATATCCTGTTGGTTTAGTTTCTCCTTCTCTGAGGAACCCAGCCTGATACAGATACCCAGCTGAGTCAGTGTGTTTGCTGATCTTGACCTCTGGAAGCTAGTGCTTTAAACCACGAGAATGAAAAATTGTGAGGCACTATGTGGACGCTGGGAGAAGGAAGTGGGATGGAAAAGTTGTTTCATGGCATCCAAGAAGTGAATGGTCCTCAAGGTGTAGCAGAGGAATTGATAGGAGAGAGGGATGATTGACATCTTCGTATAGCCCCAAACCCGTCCCAGTTAGCATGGAGGAATTTTAGGTAGGTGACACAGAAACTGGGTAATGATGGCAGGTGTGGAGAAATAGAATGTACCACTGAGTGGGGGGGGTCCAGGGAACCATATGGCAGAAATACCCTCCCGTGCCACGTGATCTGCCAAAATTGAACATGGGGCGTTTAGGAGGGGTGCCATGTCAGTTTGGGAACTATCCTTAGGCGTGCTAACCCCAATCTCCCTTTCTCCAACCAGCGCACCCTGCCTTCCTCCTCAGATGTCACTCCCCGCCACCTCCCTCAGTCAGGTCGTGCTGGTGCTTTGTGACGTCAAAGGCCTCCCTTCCCGCCCAGGGCTCCCATTGGCTGGGTAGTGGGGTGTTGACCAATCACAGCTCAGGGACGTGGTCGCCTCATTGTCCCGAGACCGCGGGAGGGGTATATACGGGGACCCCAGGCAGCCCGCGGGTGACCGTTGGGAGACGTTGAGCTGTGGAAGATGAGTCCGAAGCCGAGAGCCTCGGGATCCCCGGCCAAGACCACGGAGAGCCGAAAGAGGAAGTCCTCTTCTCAGCAGAGCTGCAGTAGCCCGAAGAAGAAGGTGAGGGACCCACCCAAGCTCCTCCTCGGCTTCCCCTCGCCTCCTTCCTCCCCAGAATCCTCTCCCGGCCTCCCCTGGCACAGCCCCCCAACCCGGCCCGCCCGCCTCTGAGGAAACGTCCCTGTTCCCAGCCTCCTCCATCCTCTTCCCTCAACCAGAGCCCTTCTCGCATCTCCCTGTTGTCCTTCCAGGCTACCAGAGCTGCCAAAAAGGGAAAAGCAGCTCGTGGAGGGAGACGCGGGAAGAAACGGGCCGCGAGCAAGATGGCGGCGGCGGCGACGGCCCCTGAGGCGGGGAGCGGGCCAGTGGCCCCCGGCCCCAGTGACCAGCCCAGCCAGGAGCTCCCTCAGCATGAGCTGCCCCCCGAGGAGCCAGTGAGCGAGGGGACCCAGGACGACCCCCTGAGCCAGGAGACCCAGCTGGAGGAGCCGCTGAGTGAGGGGGCGGCCACCGACTCCCCCATCTCGCTGAGCAGCGACTAAGTTCAGTTCCAGTCGCCAGACCTCAGAGATCTCACCAGCACGGTGGCCCCTGGTGAAGACAATAAAATGAATGTGTTGCAGAATGATCTCAGTGACTCTGTGTTCTCTGATGGTGGGGAGGGGAGGCGGGAAGAGGTGGGGGGTGGGGAGGGAGGGAGGAAGAGGTGGTGTGAGGGGAGGGAGGGAGGAAGAGGTGGTGTGTGGGGAGGGAGGGAGGGAGGAAGAGGTGGTGTGAGGGGAGGGAGGGAGGGAGGAAGAGGTGGGGTGTGGGGAGGGAGGGAGGAAGTGGTGGTGTGAGGGGAGGGAGGGAGGAAGGGAGGGAGGAAGAGGTGGGGTGTGGGGAGGGAGGGAGGAAGAGGTGGGGTGTGGGGAGGGAGGGAGGAAGAGGAGGTGTGTGTGGAGGGAGAAAGGACAGAAGGAAGGAATAGGTGGTATGTGGGGGAGGGAGGGAAGTGGGGTCCCACGGGGTCGAGGTCAAAGGGACATGTCACAGTTAGCCAGACAGGAGGATAAGGATTGCGTCATGGCTGAGCATTGGAGAAAAGTTTCCCCTTCACGGGATGACTCTGCTTCTTGTAACGTTTGTTTCTTCATGCAATCTTGCTAGCACATACACCAAGTACCAAGAACTGGATTCTACCTACTTAGGTTTCTTTTTTTTTTTTTTTTTGAGGCGGAGTCTCGCTCTGTCGCCCAGGCGGGAGTGCAGTGGCCAGATCTCAGCTCACTGCAAGCTCCGCCTCCCGGGTTTACGCCATTCTCCTGCCTCAGCCTCCGGAGTAGCTGGGACTACAGGCGCCCGCCACCTCGCCCGGCTAGTTTTTTGTATTTTTTAGTAGAGACGGGGTTTCACCGTGTTAGCCAGGATGGCCTACTTAGGTTTCATTGTTAAAATACCTTTTCGTTTATAGAAACCGATGCAAGAATCGTTTCCATTGTCTTTCCTCTCAGCATCCCCTCCCTACAATCTAATATGATTAAGAAAAATTCAAAGTAGAACAAAATCTATCCACTTGAAAAAAGCCTTTTTATCTTTGCAACTGAGGAGACAAAAAGTACATTTCATATTTCCATACGTTAGAAATACACAAGTCTTTTCTATATATAGTAGAATTTGCTGTGTACAAATATATAAATATATGTAAATAAAATATATACAACTACATTTACTATATACAAACTTAAATAGATTATATTTATATAAAATATATAAATACAAATATAGAAATATGGATTCTATATTTATATGTAATATATAAATATAAATATATAGATATAGATTATATATACACATTTGAAATACATAGGTCTTTTCTATATATACTAGAACCTACTATACATGTTTATATATTTATATGTATTTTTATGTCTTTATGTAGAATACATATAGAGATATTTATATATAAATATATATTCTATGTATAAATACATATATAAAACATTTATATTTATATATTATATATAATCATTTGTTTTAGAAGGTAAGGCATTAGTATTGTTCAAGAATGGTTCTCAGGCAAAAGGAGAAAGGAAATTATCATTTTAAGAAGAATAAAGTACAAAATTACCACAATTTAATTTCCAGTTAATAATTACACAGACAGAATAACTCATGTCCTTTAATCTTATAATGAATAGCATGTTAAACTTTCATATGATTATGAAAATATGAATTTCTATATAATAAGGGTTTGAGATGTAAAGCACTAACTTTATAGGCAGTTAAATGAGTTCTGTTTCATCCTTTCCTTGGTGTGGTCAGGGCTTCACTTCATTAGCTTAGGAAGGGATTTCAGAGCTTTGCATGTTGAACTTGTAGCTGCCTCCTATGGAATCCTATGAAACCTAGGCCGCTATACCACAGAAACAGGGCGTTGCCCCATGTCCTGAACGCCATCATTTTGTGGTGTATTTCTTTTGTATTTCTTATATGGAAATACCATATAAGGATGCTTGGTATAACTCAAAGCCTGTTTATTTGCAAGGCTGTATAGACCCTGACCAATAAATATTTGTATGTTATGGATGGGAACAAGTCCGCATGAAAAGCTCCTGCTGTCTTTTAGGAAAGCCTATTGGCTGTGGTTGTATATCTCTTTCCAAAGGGAAATTGGTGAACTTTCTGCTATAGTTTTTTCCATAATGACAGCATAAAAACTGAAGTAAACTGAATCTTGTCAGTGATCCCTTTTGGGTTTGGTGTATATTAGGGAACAAGTTTGCAATGTGTTTCAAAATTACATTCAAGAATTAATGTTGTGCACCTTATTTTAATGCCATATTTCCACTCAAGCTCTGCAAGCCAAAACAGTCTGTGATGATTCTTTTGGCATTGAAAAAATTATCCATGGCACTTAAACCGTGTTTCTTTCATCATTTCATGGCAATAGGAGCTTCAACTGCTATTTGTTGGGAACACATCCTGACTAGCTCTTTCATTGGGGCTACATGTTTTATTATGATGATTGGCAGACTTCTGTTTCAGGCATTTTCAGCTTTGGAAAGTTATTATGATTTTGAAATTATAAATGCAAAAATATCAGTGAATTTATTTTCACAAACTGTTTTAATTCATTATAGAAAATAAATGGTTTAATCAGAAATCAATAATTTAAATAATCTTTTAATTTGTTGGAGAATTCACAAATACTGCATCTTCCTTTAAGTCTTTCTTGATTCTACATGTTAAATACACAGTTAAATTAGTTAATAAGAGTATTAAATATTTTCCCTCCTTCTCCAACTACCCACAAGCTGAGGCTGAAAATAAACAGTGGGATGAGTAAAGACCCAAAGTAATATAACAGCAAAGCTTTAGTTGGCTTTTATAATAAAATTAAATAAATATCAAAGCTTTCTGATGTTTTTAGGCAAATCTTCCTGTGTCCCTAAAGGGAGGATCCCCTTGACAACAGTCATGAACAACAGGTGATCTGCAGATTCTCAGCTGTCAAAGACAGTTGGTGGGAAAATTTGAAAACACCTTGCACATATTAAAGAGCTCAGCATGAGATGATGTCTACATACATATGTCTCTGTCTCATTAGACCACAGGAAATAGGACACATGGCAGGAAGGCTCACGTCGATTCCCCTTGACCATGCAGCTTCCTCTGCTCCTGACTCCTAAGAACTTTCTGACCCATTGGTCATTCCCAGCTTCAGATCCCCACACGTACGGATTGTTTTTGGCCCCACGTCAGTGATACACGGGACATAGAATTGCTCTCAAAAACACTCTGGAATTGAAAAATGACAGGAGAAGCTCAACGCGATGGCTGGGTACCAGAGGGAAGGCCTTCCGCTGTTTTGAACACTGATGCCAAGTTCTAGAATAACTGCAGCTGCAGCCCATTGGACCTGGGCATGTGTCAGGCAGGGTGTGAAATGCTCCCCATGCACGTCCTCATTTCTCCCTCACATTACCCCTGTGGATTAATCGGGGCTCTAGAGAGACACCAACAGGTGATCAGCAAAGATAGATGAGAGGGGATTTATTAGGGGAATTAGGGGTGAAAAGTCTCGGGGCAGGCTGTCTGCAAGCTGGAGCCCCTGGGATGCCAGGAGTATGACTCAGTCCACACCCAGAAACCTCAGAACCAGGGAAGTGGATGGTATAATTCTCAGTATAAAAAGAGCCTGAAGTTCTGATGTCCAAGGGCAGGAAAAGAAGAGTCTCAGCTCCAGGAGAGAAAGGGAGGAAAGTGCCTTCCTCTGCCCTGTTTCTCCTGTCTGGGCCCTCAGAGAACTGGATGGGGCCTGTCTCTATTGAGGGCATCTTCCCCACTCTGTCCACCAGCTCACACCATTCTTCCCAGGAATACATGTGCAGGCTCACCCAGAAACAATGCTTTACCAGTTCCTGGAGTATTCCTTAAGGCAGTCAGTCACCCAGAAACAATGCTTTACCAGTTCCTGACGTATTCCTTAAGGCAGTCAGTCACGTTGACACCTGAAATTAACCATCATACCCTGTAAAATGGGTAGTGTCCCCACTGGACAAATGACACAGACAGTTTGGGTACCTTTCTTATACTGCTTATAGGTTATAGAGTCAGGATTAAAACTCAGGGCTGCAAAGATCAAATTCTAAACTCCACCCTCTTAAGGACTGCTGCTCAACGCTGTGGAAGCAGCACTGTATTACACACTGTACGAGGACTGAAGAGGCATTCGAGACACATCCCCTGCTTTAGGGACCACTTCCTAGCTTGCATTCATGACAGGTGTCATGTTTCTGTGACTTTACTATAGAGCCCAGAACCAAGTGTGAATTGGCACGCTTTAGGTGTGCATAAGCTCTGCAGAAATCCTAAGAAAGAGCAAGATAATTATAGGCTCAATTCACATAGGGAAGTTTTTATGAAAACAGCTTTTAGCCAATTCCTGAAAGAAAATATTTTCACTGGCAGAAAAATGTTCTGCTGGAGAATAACTAGTTGAAGGACTTTGGCGGCAAGGGGCCCTGGACACATGTCCACAGAAGAGGGGAAAAAAGACACAGAATAGAAACAGAATTGAGGACCCTTCAGGGAGAGGAGTAAGGAAAAGTGCTAGCCCAGAAAGCTGATAAAAATATATCTGCCCTGTATTTAAAGTTAATTCCAGCTCTTGATTTTTTTCATATTATTCATTTTATTATATTTGTTAGTATAGTATTATCCATCTTATTGTCCCATATATTATGGCATTTCCCCCATATGTGAATATATTACCACAAAGAAGGAAATGACCTCATTTTCCTAATATATAATTAGACACGAGTTTATTCCTTTACAAGCAAAAATGTGTCTCCTCCATTAAATATAAAAACGCATAAAACCATAAAATATTCCAGAGCTGAATCTTGTAGCTCAATACTCGGACAGAAAGGTTGCTAATTTGCACCTTTTATATGGTACTGAAGACCCACATTAAGGAGTGTTTTCATTGTCTGCTTGGTCAGAGACCTCAGTGTTTTGATGAAAGTTCCTTCTTAGGAGGCCACTGTCATCAAATCAACTTTGCACAGAAAACTTATGAAAACACAAAGCATTCTGTCCTCACAACTTCAGTCCACAACACTGGCAAATGGAGTCAAA